AGCACCGATTAGCTTGCACAAATCTCTCTATTCTATCTCTGTCAATTCCTGTAACGAATATGTTAAAGCGAAGGAGAAAATGAATAAATCAATTTCTTTTTATAGAAGTTGACTTTCATCAAACAAATGTGCAGTGTATGCCTACTGACCTCCGTCATCGCTAACCACTTTAACTGATTTACATAATATTGTCGTTTCCATGCAAAAAAAAAACATATCGATTTTTTGCTGGTATATGTGTTAAGTGGAAACAAAAGTGAACAGGAATATAGACTGAAACTCTCTTGAATCTGTTCATTTTCGTTGTTGCTAGTTTTTGTACATTGAACTAATATATAGACATTGAAATCAATTTTTCTTCTCAAAGATACTGGACATTTATGTCTTATCAGCACTTATTATAAACGCATACATCAGTAAGTCCCATCCGGTATTTCTTCTCACTCTCTTCATTGTTTTAATCTTTGTCATTTGTGTCTTTATTTGGTATTTTGAGGGCGGTTGTGAATGTTTGCTTGTTGGGTTGTGTTTAAAAAACAACCATCTATAGGTATTGAAAAACTGACTAGTCCCAGAAATAAAAAACTTTCATTAATGACTATCATAGTCGTTGCTACGTCTCAATACTTCAGTTCCTGACTCAGAAACAGTTAGAAAAGTTAAGGGTAGATTCTCTACTATTGAATCTCAGAGTAGTTGCAATTTTCTGATGGTTAATGTGCGCAGATGTTTGTAAACAGTGATGATAGTAACGTAATGACCCTATGAATAACTCAGTATCATTTGAAGGGAAGTATAGTGAATCATACTAGTCAGTTGGTCAGGAGTTTGAACCCGTCTCCGCTTACCAAAGTTTATGGAGCCAAGTAGTAGCACTGACTGTAATGCAATAAGTGTGGTTCATTGCCAAGTGGATGAACGTGTATGTGTGATTGTTTAGTGCATTTTGAGCCTTTTTCCACTGCCGGTATCCGGCATGTCAACATTTAAGTTTAATGTGACACTCTAGGTTAATAGTATTTTTTTAAAACGCTGTTTCAAAGGAGTTATAACCATTAACGTCAGTCACGTTGTATATATATAGCTTACACAGAACCATGTTGTATACCGGCAGTGGCTTTTTTCAACACCCAACTATCGAGTTCTAAACAAATTAGTGGTAAGTCGAACTGATCTTGTTCTAAACAAGATAGATTAAATATGCATATTGAATTTCACTAAACAAATAACATAAGGATGTAACTCATAACGGTATCATGACTACATTATACTAGGAGTTTAAAATGTTGGTAGAGTATCGTAAACAAATGGTTAGTAATGTTAAGAGTTAGATTAATTGAATTACATAAGTTAATTCCATTGAATCGATGAAACGGATCACTAGTTATTCGCTTGTTAAAATATAATCATCTCTTGAGTATACTTCAAAAAATGAATGAATGAATCAGATCATTATCATCATGATCTTGATTCTTTATAAGTTAAAAAGATAACAATGTAACACATACCACAATGCTTTCTTTTCATCACACTTTTGCAAGTGTGTATATATATATATATATATATATATATATATATATATATATATATATAGTCTTACTAAAAACAGTGAAAATACTTTACTCCTTGCTGAGTACTACTCACTATTTCATGTGATACCTCTACCTAGTGAAATATTGATGTATGCCAATTGGGTAGTCAAGAGGTTGTACGCTGTAGTACTCTTGGTGGCTAGCAGTGAAATCTGAGATGCACATCTTGTCCTATCTGAGACTCGTCAGTGACTGATATTGTTCCCATTAAGACTGGAACCAGAGATTGATTGCTTCAAACGCCAAAGTGATATCCACGACAGCCACATGTTGTTCAGCGCGTTTATTTGTTTGTTGATACTTGTAATTTCCCTTCGCTATTTCTTGAGCAACTTGACCCAGTATAGCAACGAGAAATTACAGGTATCAGTAAACAGGTTGTATTCTTATTGAGCAAGACATCTGTCTACATAGTACATCATTTCCTATTATGTTGCTTTGAGACGATCATCCAGGTTATACCAGATGGGAAGACTTCATCTGTTTGATGGTCTTTTGCGAGTTGTCAATCAGCACAAAAAGCATCTTAGCGAATGATGTTCACATTAAGTGTCGGATTCCACACATCAGAGCTAAATCAGTTGGTAAGGTTTATCAATTAGCAATATAATTTGGACATCTTCTTATGCTCTGCGGCGTTAGTTCGCTCACATCTTGCTTTGTTTTATTTTTTCTACTCAAATGAGAGGAAACCTGGATAATCTAAGTCGGAAGACTGCTTCAAACGAGAATATCAGGTTAGGCCTGCGAATACACTGAATAATTTTTCATGCACTCATTTTAATTGTTGGAGTCCAAATCATGTGAGCATCAAATTACAACGCTACTCATCATCATAGAACAGAGCATAGAATGACAGTCAACTCTCCACCTCAACTTCATCCACTTTAAAAAGGCGTCGACCGAGAAGTAATTTGACAGGCAGCTGCTTCAACACTACGCTTCTAGTGCCACAAACCTTTATCAACCTCATTCAACAGCTAGATGTTATGCAATATGAGAATGCTTCATGCCATGTGATTCACAATGGAAACCTCAGTGATACCTTTGAAGTTAAGTGAAAACAGGAGTAGGACAAAACTCCCCCTCATCGATGATTCAATATTAGATTTGTTTATTTGATTTATAACACACAGTGATCTAGTATGATTTACTTGATGACGTTTCGAGCATAAATTATTACTTCTCATAATCTATCAATGTAATCACACACTACTTGCGACATTTGATTTTTATAGTTACGTCACTTCATATGAGTTGTTTTTATTTGTAGCAAACTTTTCCATATCTCTGGTATAGGTATAGGTATTGCGTCATTTCTATTACATGTGTAAGGTGGGTGTTGATTCGATGAACAAAGATTCAGTAATCAATCTCTCCCTTTATCTCTCCACCTAATTATATTGGACTTAGTTGTATGTAAGGAAACTTTACGTAGGATACTCAACGGAGCTGGAATTAGGGTGGCATTGAAACCTACAAACTCACTCAGAGATAAACTTTGTCGGCTTAAGGTTCCGATAGAACCAATTGAGCAAAATAATCTAATCAAATCTATCAAATTCCATGTAATAACTGTGAGTCGGGTCAAGTATATCGGTCAAACTAATCGGTTGGGGCCAGTTAGAATAGCCGAACATAGGAATTTAGCTAAATATAGAATGACAGACCTGAATAAGATCAATAATCTAGAAAAAACTCGTCTATTCCTATGCAGGCATTAACACACAACCACACGATAGAATGGGTGGGATAAAGCCATTGTATTTAAGCCCAATATAATTAAGTAGAGAGAGATTGATTACTGAATCTTTGTTCATCGAATCAACACCCACCTTACACATGTAATAGAAATGATGCAATACCTATACCAGAGATATGGAAAAGTTTGCTACAAATAAAAACAACTCATATGAAGTGACGTAACTATAAAAATCAAATGTCGCAAGTAGTGTGTGATTACATTGATATGATTATGAGAAGTAATAATTTATGCTCGAAACGTCATCAAGTAAATCATACTAGATCACTGTGTGTTATAAATCAAATAAACAAATCTAATATGGAATTAAATTCTTCTACAATGCCCAAGTTTTACACCTATATCATCGATGATCTTCCTGATTGTGGTCGACTGAACTGCACTGGATCATGCAACAGACAACTGTGAGCAGTGAGAAGATGGGCATACACTGGATGGACCGATGAAAAACCCCCTGAATAAGATTAACATCTCGCCAACGATGATGATTTATGTCTAATGTCTTATGTCGCACAAACTCGAAGACCTACAGGCGAAAACTAACAAGTTGGCAGAAGAGGCGAGGCGAGGCAGCGAAGGAAAACGGCACTTCCTTCAGGTGAATGTAGAGAAGATAGAGGTGATGAAGATACTCAACCAACCAACCAACCAACCAACCAACCGAGCAACAACAACAAGCATCAGTCGCCATCAACGCGAGAAATCTAAACGAAGTAGTCTCTTTCACCTACCTAGGCAAGGCAGCATCGTTTCAACTACAGGTGGTGGTGGCGACACAGATGAGGATGTCAAAGCCAGGATCGGAAAGACAGCAGTATGGAGATCTACTCTACTCTACTCCACTCCACTCAACTCCACTCAGCATAAAGCGTGAACAACATCCGGATTTTCAACACTAATCTCAGTCAAGTAAGTCAGTGCTTCTATGTGATGGTTGAGAGACATGGTGGCATGTTACAAAAAACATTTCCAACAAACTACAGACATACATCATCAACAGCTGCTGCCTACGCTCACTCGATACTGACACTGAAGATCAGATGACCAGAATAATGAGAATAAGCTACAAGCAAGTCACTCTGGCTGGCGACGAGTCAACCAAAAACCCACCGCCCAACAGATATGCAGAAAAAGAAAGTGGAGATAAATTGGATTGGGCATACACTGAGAAGACCGTTTGGGGACATCACGCTTCAGGCTAGGCTAGTCCTTCGGTTGGAACCGAAATGGGGAATGACGAGTTGGGTGTCCGAGGCGAGGGTGATGACATGGAGGGGATGGTGTGAGGAGAAAAAGAAAGGTTGTGGGCAGTCGTGGGGCCAGGTCGAAAAGACTGCAGAGAGGAGAGTGAAGTGGCGAAAAAAATTATTGATGTTGTCGGATTTTTCTATAATCCCGAAAAGCATGAGGTTGAGGTGTATCGCTGTTAGTTTATGACCACTTACTTTGAAGCCACACATTTTCACTTTGGCCTGATTTATTCTCACTCACCCCCTCCTTCAATTCATGATTCAGTTGTGACCAGTTGCAATCCTTCACAAAAATTCTCTATTGTAGTGATTGAACCATCAAGTTGTTCTTTATTATTGTTCCATAGTCTCTTATTTTGACTCCCTGTGACCTATTTTTTTTTCTTTTGTGTTAAGGATTCCAGTGTTTGCTTTACTACAAGATCCAGTTGATATTCTACTTGGATTGTTACCTCATATATGGCCACGTGAAGGTAGGTTAAATTTGGCTTACTTTACTACTGTCCGTAATCTTCTTTTAATATACTTTGCCTTCATTTAGAGTGAGGCTTTGATTTAGTTGGAAATAAAGACTTCGTTTTAACTTGATTTAAACTAATAGTTTCTGAGTAGATCTACCAAGACTTTATTTGTAAGCAGCAATACTTATGTGCTTATGTGTTGTTTACTGTTGCTGTTGAAGTAAAATAAACAAGTGTATGTTAGCATTACATCATCATGATTGGATGAATGGTCAGTAAATCTGTCAACTAGTATGATAAAGTATAACCCACAATTATTAGTCATTTGCTCACACTTATCCATGGTATGAGTTTTCATAAGTATTCCCTAAACTTACTGTGATTTGAAGTATATTTCCCTAATTTGAGTTGTTGTTGTGACACAAGAATATATACAACTATTAGAAGTAGTATTTGTTTTGCATATTAGTTATCTCAATCAACAAGCACTTATCTTTAGAGATGAAATATATTACTTTACAACATGAATAAGTAGGTGGCAACTACTCATGTCGATATATAGATTTCGTTCGTCAAATCAGACTAATCTTAGCATGTGCGTGTTCTTTGGCTCGTTTAGGTTTGAGGTTATCAGGTGTATACATGTGCAAATTCAGCTGACATTGAAAACCGTGTGGTTCATAGCAATTGGTTCTAACTAGCTGACTTGGATGAACAGGTATACTTCCAATAAAATGTTCAATTTATAAATTATTTACAAATTGCGCAGTTCACGTTGATATTAGTCACCGTTTAGCAGTATCTTAACTGCACAACTTTGGTCTCAGCAGTGTTTCCATTAGAATACACTTAGACAAGATCACAAGATGTAATCTGTGATACAGAACTATCAAGGATTAATGAAACATACTACTAAACACTCAGTTGTGGGCTGAATTTATCTGAGTACACCACTGATAAGTTTGGCCTCAAATGGGCGAAACGGCTATTCGGTGTTTAGATTACAGATCTCCCCAACAAAATCAGTACATCAGCTTGAATGCTTTCTAACTACTCTTGTTTTTCAGTGGGATACATCATCGACTCATGATGCCCTTTTTTTTTTTATTATATCGGAGACCACACCTTGTGATCTTGATTAGGTTATTTACATCGGAAACCTTGTTGATGCCACAATTGAGCAGTTGAAAAACTACTCATGCATGAGAATTGTCAATGTGAACTGTGTAATTTGTGAATCATTTGCAAATTGATCATCCCTAATTTAGAGATGCTAACGGAAGTTCCTAGGGAACACTGACAAGATTCGGGCTAACGAATACGTGTATGCTCTATTAACTGGACTAAAACTCCCATCTACTATCCTGAATTCAGTTCTAATTTAACTACTGAATGTTCTGCTCAACTGAAATTTGCCTCAGGAAGTCTCCTGATCCAAATTTATCTGAAATGTTAAACGTTAGTGTCATTCGTTCACTAACAATTGGATTCTTTTGATTAATCATGTTCAGTGATAGGGTACGAAGATAACAGAAAACATGGGTGGTTGCAGGCTTCGAACTTCGACTGATTAAGGTAGTTGTGCGTGGTAGTTCAGTTAGAAGACTACTGGGCTTGTTAGTTCAGAGGTTACTGGTTTAAATTCAATCTCTTTTAGTACTTTAATATATTAGGCAAAACGCCACACTTGTTGTGGTTCTCAAAATATTGGTGAGCGGAACAAAATTCGACTATGTGATATACTGGTTGGATGTCAATAACCATAGCTGAGTCACAGCTAGATTTTTTGTCTACTTTAACTATCATTTACAAATGTTAACGATTACACTAACCAAGGGTGGCTCAAATGGTCTAAAGATAAATGGGGATACTTTAATTGAAACAGCAGTGTAATAGTGGATGACAAGAGAAAATTGTTTTGATTAAAGAGAAATAACTAGTTGTTGGCATATCATGATCTGAATTCCGGGAGAACTAAGGCTCTTTGACCTTTGGTGAATAATGTCAGCAACAACTTTTCAGCATCATTTTTTCCGGTTAGATTATTAGTATTCTTTGTTCCTTGGGTTCCTGGTGGAACATAGGGCTTCAGTAGCACGTCGCCACTTCACTCTCTTCTCTGCAGTCTTTTCGACCTGGCCCCACGACTGCCCACAACCTTTCTTTTTCTCCTCACACCATCCCCTCCATGTCATCACCCTCGCCTCGGACACCCAACTCGTCATTCCCCATTTCGGTTCCAACCGAAGGACTAGCCTAGCCTGAAGCGTGATGTCCCCAAACGGTCTTCTCAGTGTATGCCCAATCCAATTTATCTCCACTTTCTTTTTCTGCATATCTGTTGGGCGGTGGGTTTTTGGTTGACTCGTCGCCAGCCAGAGTGACTTGCTTGTAGCTTATTCTCATTATTCTGGTCATCTGATCTTCAGTGTCAGTATCGAGTGAGCGTAGGCAGCAGCTGTTGATGATGTATGTCTGTAGTTTGTTGGAAATGTTTTTTGTAACATGCCACCATGTCTCTCAACCATCACATAGAAGCACTGACTTACTTGACTGAGATTAGTGTTGAAAATCCGGATGTTGTTCACGCTTTATGCTGAGTGGAGTTGAGTGGAGTGGAGTAGAGTAGAGTAGATCTCCATACTGCTGTCTTTCCGATCCTGGCTTTGACATCCTCATCTGTGTCGCCACCACCACCTGTAGTTGAAACGATGCTGCCTTGCCTAGGTAGGTGAAAGAGACTACTTCGTTTAGATTTCTCGCGTTGATGGCGACTGATGCTTGTTGTTGTTGCTCGGTTGGTTGGTTGGTTGGTTGGTTGGTTGAGTATCTTCATCACCTCTATCTTCTCTACATTCACCTGAAGGAAGTGCCGTTTTCCTTCGCTGCCTCGCCTCGCCTCTTCTGCCAACTTGTTAGTTTTCGCCTGTAGGTCTTCGAGTTTGTGCGACATAAGACATTAGACATAAATCATCATCGTTGGCGAGATGTTAATCTTATTCAGGGGGTTTTTCATCGGTCCATCCAGTGTATGCCCATCTTCTCACTGCTCACAGTTGTCTGTTGCATGATCCAGTGCAGTTCAGTCGACCACAATCAGGAAGATCATCGACGATGGTATGGGGAAACCTTGACTTACTCCTGTCTTCACTTCACTTCAAAGTTATCACTGAGCTCTCCATTATGAATCGCCTGGCATTTATGATCATAGTTGTGTTCTATTTCTCATTGAAGCATCATTATTCCTTTGTATTTACAGTAGTGAAAGAAAGGAGGAACTGCAAGTTCGATCGATATGTTTAGTTAGCGTGTATTGGGTTCCTCATACACAGGAATTTCTTTGAAGGCTTTCTGCATTCCGTGACAATTCATAAATATGATTTATGAGAAACATTTTAAAGTAATCTGAGGGACCTGAACGTGTAGAATGGTAGTTGAACAAGTTACTGTCTGTCTAGTTCTTTTAGTGTATATGTGTGCCAAAAATCTTGCATGCTACATAATCGATAAATACCTGTTAAACTTTATGCATATATGGTTTTATTTATTTACTGTTGCATAACATGATTTTTATAATGACTTCAACTGAAGGTGAGGATTTCACGTGGTGAGTGAATAAATAAGCTGAAAAGTCGATTTAATGTAAAAGAAACAAAGTGATTAAACTGAAAGTCTTGAGAATAAATTTTGTGCATACTGGTGATGGAGGCAAAATCATTCCTTCACAGAATTAAATTCATATAATTCAGTACCCCCACCCAGAGTTGCAACGGATGACTCCGAAAAACGATGAAGCTCTGGATTCAAAGATTCCTTTTGAGTGTTTTCAACTGTTCAATATAATATGCAGTGCGCCATGGAGTCCAGTAAGCTAAGTTAAATAGCCCTACTCCAAAATCTATGTTTACGGTCAGGTTAGGTCAACTCTTAGAACTGAATGACGGAGAATCGTTCCGCAATCTATTGAGTGGCTAACGGTGCAGTCTAGGACATGCGTTTTGTCCTATTTGAGACTCATCTACTAGATTTTCCTGCACCCCGGTGAGTGTTAATGTTCCCATTGAGACTAGGACCCAGTATCCATCGCTTCAAACACCAAAACGATATCCACTAGGCCAATAAAGCCCGAGAGAGCTACTTCTTGTCAACGGGTATCAGTTGTTGTGTAACATCGCTCACTAGGTTTCAAATACGTCCGGCTGATGAGTCCTGAGTAGAACGAAATCCCCTTCTTGACTTTCACTTTTAGCCACTGAGTAGGCTACAATATAATAAGTATCTGGGCAGTATTGAGACATCTAACAGCAGAGGTTGAGCAATTTGACCAAGTATACCAACTCGAAATTGCAGGTATCAGTAAATAATATAACTATTCTGTTTCCAGCTTGTTTCCAGTGGATAATGATCATATTGAATCTTTTGAAGTAAACCATTTCATGGTTTATGTCTGTACTGTTTATGATAGGATTGATGCCAATCACTAATTGTCTTCAATTATTAATTCTTTCAGAAATGACAATGAAGTGTGCAGCTTTCAAGCATACCTCAAGCTTTCACTTTATAAACGTTTGGGCGTTGGATGGAGATAGGAAGAGAGAGAGAGATCCAATTTTGCACCTTGTCATTTAAATTCTCCTTATATATCCTATTGATTCAAATGGTTTTTTGGATAGGGATGAGATGATGACATTTTGCACAAACTCCATAGTATTTGTTGATTAGTGTTGTAAAACTTTCTAAATTGAAAGTTATGAATTCAAATGAACTGATCAACCTGCTTCCTACAGTTAGAACAAGTGTTCCATCAGCATAGAAGGTACGTCCAGCTGATGAGTCCCAAATAAGAGGAGATGCGCATCTTGGATTCCACTGCTACCCACTATCCATGATTACTATAATTAGAACACAGGTAATATTGAGCCCATATGCCAATACAGTCAGATCAATTCGGTAGAATCAACAACAGTATAATGCAAGCAATAATACTAAAACTATACCCGTCGCACAAGAAGTGACTATCTTGGCTTGGCGGTGTAGTAGATAACGCTCTAGCGTTTGAAGCAGTCGGTCCCGAGTCTGAATCCCGGTGGGAACAACATCACTCACTATGAGGCAGGTAGATCCAGCTGATTAGTCCCAAATAGGATGAAATCCGCATCCTGGATTCCACTGCTAGCCACTGTCCATCATTACTGCTTCCTATATCTTATTTGTATGCCCACATTCAATCATGGGATCTTTGAAATCAGTGCACGTCGATGGCATAGAATGAATCCTTTAAGCATTATGTCTGTATTTTGTATGCCACTTTCTTGTATGGTTCCTTTTCGGTCGTCCTTTCTTTCTTTCTTTCCAGACATTTTTCACACGGTCTTAGCGTCTACCTTTTGTTTGGCGTATATACGAGCACTGATCAGTGTAGTATTCAACCGGTCAACTAAGTCTACACGTTTTAATTTAATTGAACAAATCAGTGCTACACAACCGTTGTTAAGTAAAGTGAGTCGTCGTAGACGTTGTATTTTTTTCTTTAAGACGAGATATCTGTGTCATGTTTTATGTTGTCAAGTTTTAAAGGATACTGAAAAGTACAGAAGTGATTGTATGCTGAATGGATGATGTAGACATGGAACTGTGGGTCATTGGTTTAAGGAAATGACTTTCGATTGATAGGTCACACCGGTTCACGTCTCACTCCGTCTACCGAGGTTTAGACGGACGGGTAGACTCATCGATAACCTTCACCCAACAGGTGTGACTCATTGCCTACTCCACGAATATACACAAGGTTGCTGAGTGCATTTAACTTTTCTCTTTTTAAATTCGCACCAATGCTCGTGCATCATAAGTCAGTCTTACTCACTGAAACTATCACACTCTTCGAAGTTTAGAGCAGTCATGGTTCTTATAGCATAGATATAATTTGGTTAGTTATATGTACAAAGTTCTGGAAAGACGCATATTTCTATGGAGTATAGTGAAATCGAAATGATGGAGCACTGGTTGATCCTTCGCGCGGAATAAGTGAGAGAATCCATCCATCCAAATCAACATAGCACCAGGTATTACTGCGTAACGCTCCGAGTTCCCACAACTCATATCACCACATCAAGTAAACAAGGCAGTCAAATGCAAGATGAAGAAAACAAAATCCACTCAAACGAAATATAAAGTACTAAAAGAGAGAAAGAAAGACTGAGAAAGTGGTGACATTCGGGATAGCGTCGTTAAGATGATGACAATGTGTGTATGCATCTCCCCACTCACATCGGTTCTCAGCCATACCATCACCCACAGTCTCCAACCGCTCACTGGTTCCTCTCATCCCGCCGACCCCAACCACACAGTCAGCATCGCCACACATTGCTCAAACCAACAGTCAAACACTTCATACATTCATACCATGTTTTAGTCTGTCGCCCCACCGACGGAGCCTTTTTCCAGCCTGAACCTACTTCGGCCAACATTGTGTGACGAGGCAGACGGCGACTAGGCATACACAACACATGTCTCAGTCACCCATCTCAGTCCATGAAGGTTCACAACCTCATCAACTGACTTACCTCTTCTTCTTCCTAAAACTCTCTCTACACCTGACTTGTGTGTTACTCACATGGTGACACCATGGAATTCGGCCTGTACTACGAAGGCAACGGTGGTCAAACACTTGAAGCCAGCCTTCTCATGTTTTCCACCTTCAATGGCCATGTTTCACAGCCATAGAGTAGAACAGAGCTGACTGCTGTCCAGGTGCAGTACACGCCACCCCTAGTAGACAAACGGATATCGTGGCGGCACCATAGGTGGCGTAAATTGGCAAAGCCAATCGAGCCTTTTGTATTCATGCAGAGATTTCATCAGCGTCTCTGCTGATCTGAGAGAATAGTTTATTCAGTAGGCATTTTTCTGCACATGTTTAACCAACAAGACATGTTAACCTTTTTCCAGAAATTTGTCAATCAGGACATCGGGATTGACTGTTGTTTGATCGCAATACATCACTTATTGACACGGTCTGTAAAACCTGGGTCGATGAGAATCCCAACTCGTTGACTGAAATTCTTGTTACGAGACCTGAAGATGCTGTTCGTGTAGGTTAAAACACCGTGGTGCTTAGTGGTTTCCCTCTACTCTTTTACAAAATTCCTACTTGTTATTGTTATAATTTTTTAAAATCTGTTTTTCCATCATAGATTTCCGGTGTTTTGGCAAGACATTTACACATTTTACTTAAACGTTTAAGTGAATTGAACTTCCCACCGTCTGCAGCCAGTTCAACTCCCCAACAACATTTCACAGATGTTATTGGTGCCTGTCAATCATCAGTTCGAGTAGAACGTGTTTTAAATTTGTTATATTTAGCGTCGAAATTACCGGATGATAATTTCTTTCACCATACATCACCATCAACATCATCTTCTGAATCAATAACTACATCATTTCACAATCTTCCAAATGAATATAATCAGAATCAAATAGAATTACATATTATTTTACGTGTCCTACCATTTCTACGTATTGCTAGTCTATGTTGGACACATTGGCGTCCAGATCATGCTGGCAATGTGAAACCATTAGGATTACCTTTTGTCGGCCAGTTAACTAAATTATCTACTCAATGTAGTGTCGATAAGCAATCAATAGAACTAGTGTGTGTCACACCTGAAGTAAGTCACAATGGATAGGTGATTGATTCACCGTTTTTTCTTTTTTTGTAACCTAATGCTTAGTTGAAATTCTCAAAGTACTGAACTGTGTCTGTCACTGTGATTTAAAATTCTGTTCAGTTAAACTCTAGCTGAAATGTATCATAATATATTATAAACTTTTTTTTCTTGCAACAGACACTAGGAATCTCAACATACTTCAGATATTAAGCTACCTTATCAAAAGAAAAAGACATCAATCGATTCGATGAAAAGAATATACTTTGAGTGTTTGCTAGATACAAGGTATAAATCATAAACAACCCTATTTTACACAAATCGACCAGGAGATAGCAGTCAGATATGGTTCTTACTTTTTGACTATTGATAAATATTTATCGAAAACGTTTTAGTTTCCACTGTAGATTACTCATGGTTGGGTTATGTAACTTGTTCTTTATAAATAGAGTGGTTTCACCGGCCAGTTAGTATAATTGCTTGTATTAGACTGTCGTTGATTGGACCGAATTGGTCGGTCTCTATTGGTTTATGGGCTCCTGTGCGGATGCCTCAATATTACCTATGTTCCAATTATAGTAATCCCAGTGGGAACAACACCACTCACTGGGGTGCAGGTATATGCAGCTGATGAGTCTCATACAGGACGAAATGCGCGTTCTGGATTCTACTGCTACCCACTATCCATCTTTACTAGGGTTAGGTTAGTTTTCGTAGCTGAATTGAGGTCAATCTGAATACTAAATACTCATTTCGCTTATTTGCAGCTGAGCTCATTAGTGATATACTCAGAAACGTTCACTTCGAAAATACTAATTAATCAAACTGACTGAATTCAATACACAGGTGGAAAAATCAACTTGAAATCTAATACAGAAGTGCATTGGTTCAGGTTACTACACTTCATACCATCATGCAAACAAGAAGTGAATAGAAAAATAGAGGTATTCAAATGTAAAAATGTTCAGAAAGTAAACTGATGTAAGTCAATAGAAATATTCAAAACTCCGAAGATGATGCAACTCATATATCTATGTCGTTTTGAGTGTTTCCCAACCTTATTACCAAGGCTATCTAAGCATTTATTCATATGTAGTGATGGATAATGACTAGCAGTGGAATCCAGGCCGTGCATTTCGTCCTATTTGCGGTTAGTCAGCTGGATGTACCTGCCTCACAATGAGTGATGTTGTTCCCACCGGGATTCGGACTCGGGACCTACTGTTCCAAATTCCAGAGCGTTATCTCCTACACCACCGAGCCACGATAGTCACTTCTTGTGCGACGGGTATAGTTTTAATATGATCGCTTGCTATCAATTCGGTCCAATGAACGACGGTACTATACAAGCAATAATACTAATTATACCTATAGTTTTTATGACACTGCTCAGGTAATCTACACCTCACTACATAGGTCTGAGTGATAACCATTGAAGTCATGGACTGATGGCACATGTTGAGGTGGGTGACGGCTAGACATACACATAGAAAGTTGAAACCATTTCACGACTCCATCGACTGACTTGCTTTCCCTGCTAACATGACTATTCCACCAATCAGGCTTAATGCATTTTTATACCATAAAATGGGTAAACAGTTTATAAATTAGTCACAAATCGCGGAGTACAGTACTTCTAACAGGAGATAGTTTTAAATGTTTCATACGTTGCACACCTTGTTAACATGGTTTTTTTTCTTACTTTCATTATGCAGTTAGTTCAGCTTACATTGTGAATTGCTTCGATTTAAAAGGGTATGTATCATCAATGATGTTTTGTTTGCCCATGAACCGTGAAACCTAACATAAACAAGCTCTTCTGTATATCTTCCGAGACGTTCCTTCCGTTAATTGTGGTAAAATTTTCATCTACCAATCATGCTTGAAATACAGATTTCAGTTTGTATATAAATAATCATAAAACAAGATGGTTTGAACTTACTGGTGCGAGGAATCACTACATGTGTAAAGTCGCCTAGCGTATTTGCGGACATGGTATAGTAGATAACGAAATTAATATGTGAACATACTCTTATTGTACAAGAATGAATAATGCTTCCCCTTACTTCTTGTTAATTGTTCTTCACTGACCCGTGAAAATATCGGAAGACAAAGTTTGGCCTGTGACTGCAAGAATGATTATAATGTAGCAGTCAGTGAGTTGGACTAGCTGTTGTCGAGACACTTTCATTCATCATCCATAGAGTCTTTTAGAAGAATTACGCTTACTGTCTTCATATGAATAAGACGCCCCTAGTAAAATAGAAAGGATTAAAGTAAATGTCTTTACTTTATCACTGGACTAGGGAATAAGGTTGAGGAGTTGGAACACGGTCATTCCAAACAAATATTGTACATTGATTTCATGATGCAAAAGTATCGAATTGCCTATGAATTTATTTTGATTTTGAAAACAATGAGTATGCAGCAAGTGACGTTTCTCCACTATCTTTTGAATCAGACTTCAAGTCAAAGACTCACGGTAATCACATCATGCAGGCCATGAAGATACCGTGCCGTAATGAAGTGTACAGACAGCCTACCTAGCCTACTTGTGGCTCATTTCTTGTTACCCTGATCTACTATTACGATTCACAGTATGCAATATGATGCACAGTTTGACTCCTTATCATTCTAGTATTGTTTCAAGTCACACATATTTATTTTCTTTGAGTTTTTATTTTTCATTTTAAATTATTAGCAACGATTAGTGGAGTTTAGTGACCTTTGTCGTATACTATCATTGGATTGTGGAGACAGCGTAGTTATCAATGTAGGCCAAGTTGGTGAATTAGCTGGTAGTCTATGTGGAATAGTACGCACACCTAATAATGATGACGCTATACATTGTCTTATTGATCGATGGTTAGGTCAAATTAAAAAAGCATCTCAAACATATCCAACTGGTGTTTCCACACAACGATTATCTCAGTCTTCAACTGTATCTGCTTCACTTGCACCTTCTACTGTGAAAAATACTGATGAACGAATCATTTCTACGAAATGTATGGATGTTTCCGTTGTTAATAATCAAGTATCAGATTTCACAAAACATATAGTTAGTTATCTACGGGTATGTGGGGTTTTGCACATATAAATGATTATTTTCTTTTGATAAAGTTATAATTTTGAAGTATTGTAGAAGATACTAGTGATAAGAATGAATATAAGTAGTATATGTTGGGAGGTCCACAGAAATCATAGGCAATTACCAACGATGAGTAAATATTCTGCCCAGAGGAATGCAGAACACAATCTAAGCGTGTTAAGAGTAAGTCGAGCTAGAAGCAGAAGAGGAAATGAAATACACTGTACAAATGACTATTCTAATGGAAAGTGTACAATATTTGATGATTATTGTACAAGATGTCAATAATAAATATTCTGTCCTGCGTCTCAGTCTTGTCGTTTCTTACAGTAGTTTTTTTCAATGCAGAATGTAACGAGGTGTGTAATTTTCTCAGACAACATCAACAACAGGGAGAATACAAAGAAAGAGTACCTATTTATAGTCGGTCAATGGGCACTTCAACAAGTAAGATAGCGTGACTGGAATCAGAAAAACGTATATTTTAAAAAAGAAAAGAAAAATAGGTGACTGAATTTTGATTTCAGTGGATCGCTTATTTAAACTTTAGTGAGAAAGATTACAAGAAGCCTGTGCATAAGAATGTGACTGGTTATCTTGTTGACTTTTTCAGTATCTTAACCAATCAGATTATTATTATTTGTCCCTTGCGTTCATAGTGGAACATAGGGCTTCAGTAGCACGTCTCCATTCCACTCTCTTCTCTGCAATCTTTTAAACCTGACTCCACGACTGCACACAAGCTCTTGTTTCTTCCTCACATGACCTCCTCCATGTCACCCTCGCCTCGGACGCCCAACTCGACGTTTCCCATCTGGGTCCCACTCGAGTGACTGGCGCATGATGTCCCCGAATGGTCTTCTCAGTGTATACCTAATACAATCCATTTTCACTTTCTTCTGCATATTTGTTGCGTGATAGGTTGTTGGTTGATTCGTTGCTAGCCACAGTTCCTTGTTTCTTATTCTTTCAGGCCATCTGATCTGATCTTCAGTGTCAGTAGCGAGCGTAGGCAGTTGTTGATGATTGTCTGTAGTTTGTTGGAAATCCGTTTTGTAACACGCCAAGTCTCTCAACCATCACATAGATGCACTGACTTGACATTAGTGTTGAAAATCCTGATGTTGTCCAAGCTTTATGCTGGCTGAGTGCAGAAGATCTCCACACTTGTTGCAGGTAAATGAACGCCTGTCTTGCTGTCTGTGCCGCCTGTAGTTGTTACGATGCTGCCTAGATAGGTGAAAGAGGCTACTTCCTTTAAGTTTCTCCCGTATATGGTGATTGGAGCTTATTGTTGTTGTTGGTGGCGTTGGTTGGGTATCTTCATCACCTTCAATTGTAGTCCCGTCTTCGCTGCTCTGCATCTTCTGTTAACTTTGTTGAATTTCGCCTGTAGATCTTCCAGTTTGTGTGACATTAGACATAAGTCGTCGGCGAAATCCAAATGTTCTAGGTTCTTTTCCCGGTCCAGAGTATCCGCCTCTTCTCACAGCTCCTCACTGTTTGTTGCATGATCCAGTCGACCACAATCAAGAATATCATGCGTGATAGTAGGCGACAGCCTTGTTTTACTCCTGTCTTCACTTCACTAAGGTGAATCACCATTGTGAATTACTTGGCATGTGGCGTCTTCATATAGTTGTTGAATGAGGTTGATAAAGGTTTGTGGCACTAGAAGCGTAGTGTTGGAGCAGCTGCCTGCCAGATTACTTGTCAGTCGACACTATCGAAGGCTTTCTCAAAGTGGATGAAGTTGAGGTGGAGAGTTGACTGTCATTCTATACTCTGTTCTATGATGATGCGAAGCGTTGCAATTTGATCCGCACATGATTTGTTCTTCCTGAATTCAGCCAGCCAGCCTGTTCCGGTCGTAGTTTTGAATCCAGCGCATGCATTGGTTTTTCATCTTGACGGAGAAAACTCAACAGTTTACACTACATAAAGTCTATCTAGAGGTGAAATATCAACTTTGTAGTCTAACTTCATTTAATTAGTGCCTAGTGCAACCGTTATATGACATGTTAGTGCTTAATGTTTTAGTGTTGTGTGAAGCATAATCTCCTTGGCGATTGAAGTTAATTGTTTGCAAACAGAAAACATATAATCTGCACGGTGATTACTGCCTGTAGACATCTAAAATAAAGGTAGATCACATTGGCATTTTAGTCAGATTAGGAACCGTGTTACATCTCTTCATAGAAACTTTGGATTGACTTCAGTTGGAGAACTATTGAAAATTTTCCAGCTCAATTCCATCCTATCTTGGAGACTCTACAACAATCCCACGTTTGGTTCCTCGTGAGATTATGATTGAATACCTGACAAAATCAACGTAGAACCTTGCACATAAGTGCATCGACTGAAGAGGAAAAACAATCTGATGATAACGGTTAGTACAAATATTCAAGCTTTAGAAGACACCAATGAGTGAATACATCTGCGCCATTGTGACTGAATTTCAACCATGTTGCTAATAGTCAGTCGTCAACTACTGGTTCCTGTCGTCTCGGGGACCCTAATCGGGTAGCGTATATCTCCTCACACGGCTCAGGTCAACAGTAAGAGATTTCATCGACTGCGAGGTTGTGGGTTTGCACAGCTGAGAACTATCAAACTAAGACGAAACCACTACTCAGTGTTCCAAAGTTTTCAATAATTGACCGACTTACGTCAGTCCATAATGAAAATTACCTTCACTTCAATCAATCACTACAAACTAATAATTTTATAATGTAAGTATTTAAACAGAATCATTTCAATGCATTGTATTAGTCAATTAATTGATCACTCAGTCTATTTCCAGAACTGTTATTTCTATTAAATTTAGCCATTAGTTGAAATTGGTCGTCAGTTGTATTCTCCTCGTCTAATTCGTACACCAGCATCATTTGATGTACTTTTTAATGCATTACACTTGATCAGTTGTTCATCAAATCAACATCGATTTCAAGAGAATATTCTATGTCTTATCTGTGGACGTTTATTATGCAGTTTATGCAGTAATTTGGCAACTGTTGTTGTTGAAGTAAGTGGGTTGAAAATAAAAAAGCTCTTTATTAAATAATCATGAAGATTATGGTGTGCTTGATTTAATTCAAACAGTTTTCATCTTGAGAAAAAAAAGCTATATTGAATTACTTTTTCCTAGCCTGCGTGTTTCTAGTATTGTATTCTTACTCGAATTCTTGTAAAGTTGATCTCATCACCTTCAAATCTAAGAATGAGAACGTTACCGTTGAGCCATTATGAAACTTTAGAGTTGAATCCTGTAAGAAATTATGAGTGTTCATTGCACGGAATTCCAAAGGTATGATGAGACAAATCGTTCGGTGTACTTTGGTTTTCAGGAGTTCCCTAACCGATGTCAAACCTGGACAAAAACTATATTAAAACTAATCAGCCACCTCGGAAATTGCACAATTTTATTGTTGTCTGGCTATTGCATATTTTTTAATCCTAGTTTTTGTTTATATTGATGATTCCTTTTTTATACTGGGTGGTGATTGATGAGATGAAAATCTGGACCGCATCCGGATTCGAATCAGCGAAAACCAAACTACCGCCAAACTACGATTATCTCAGATAGTCAAATAATTCCTTTTTTCCAAAATTATCATTGTATCAGCTTCCGCATCTACGCATAACACTGTCATTATTTGAGCAGTATTCAACTTAGGCATCCGTTTTTATTTAACATAATAGGAATCATTACGTGTAGCCATAGAGTAATGATATGGACTGAGATAGGTTACAGAGATGTGTTGCAGTATGTCGCGGCCTGAATAGCTCAGTGGTAAAGTCGTTGACTACAACACTGAGTGATGCGGGTTCGAATCTCAGGCGGGACATCCGTTCTGTCGAGGTTGCGGATACTCCTCGCTGACGAGTGCCAACAAGCACGAAACCTAGGTCCACGGCTTCCTGCAGATTGCCTCCAACCAACTAGCATCTACTAGTGGGCACTACGATGCTGAGTCTCCTAGCTTGGTAACTACATTGCAAATATGATCGATAGGATTCGGTTTGCACTCAGGACTAGACAACATGTGATTGGTTGCTCTCCCGTGACCAGTCAATACATGCCATAAACCATCTTAGTTGTATTGTGTTCTCTGAGTTGGATTGCTTATTCGTGAAGCTTTCATCATCTTTCTAGATGTCATCATCGGGACAAACTTCAGTATGAAGTAAGCTGTCAATATATTTCTGTGAGTGACTCAGTAGCTTGCTCTGACCGAACTGGTTTTTGATTGGTTGTTTCCTTTAATTGTTGTATCACTGAGTCGATTGACTGCAAAAAAATCTATGGAGTCAATGACACAACAATCAAAGGCAACAACCAATCACAAACCAGTTCATCAAGGGTTGGCTGCTGAACCACTCACGAAGAGATACTGACGGCTCGCTTCATATTGAAGTTTGTGCTGATGATGTCGTCTAGCAAGACGATGCAAATTCCACGATCAAACAATTCAACTCAGAGAACACAATACAACTAAGATCACCCACCTGAGCTACAAATATTCTCCACCATATCATAACCAGCACCCACTTACCCTGTTGTGTAGGTTTTGTCTACAATAGGAAAAAGACAAAACTAAAGGCCTGATTTATTACTATTTGTCCTTTGGGTTCCTAGTGGAACATAGGGCTTCAGTGGCAAGTCACCATTCCACTCTGTATTCTGCAGTCCTCTTAACCTGGCTCCACGACTGCCCACAGGCTTTCATTTCTTCCTTATACAATCTCCTCCATGTCACCTTCGCCTCGGACAACCAGCTCGTCGTTTCCCATCTGGGTTCCACTCGAGGGTCTGGCCGGGAGCGTGATGTCCCCAAACTATCTTCTCAATGTATGCCCAATCTATCTTTACTTTCTTTTGCATATTTGTTGAGAGATGGGTTCTTGGTTGGTTCGTTACCAGCCAAAGTTCCTTGTTACCTATTCTTTCTGGCCATTTGATGTTCAGTATTAAAAATTGAAACACAGTACCAAACCATAAAGAGCTTGCATTCAATCAATGTTTTAGTTGAGTTAATTAATTTAAAAGTTAACACAACCAACTTTATACTATAAACATAATGAATAAGAAGGTTATCAGTAAGTATTATAGGTAAAAGTAGAAATAAGGATATCCTTTTTTTCTTCGTGTCAAATGTAAAATTATTAAGTTATTTGTTTAACTGGTCTAGTTTTAGTACCATTCGATGTTGTTGGATGGAATGAACTATTTTTTTTCATTCATTTTTTAATTACATACAATACAACAATAATGATCAGTAATCATCACAGTGGAAGAAGGGTGTATAGGCGTACAGTTCACTTTATCTCTCTCTCTGTCCTCTTCTTTTTCTGCTTTCATATTTTCATTTATGTTTGACCTTATACATTTTTCCATCTTTTCGTCTTGGAGTTTTTGAATCCCATCGTCTAGGCTGTTGTTTTGATTTTGAAGAAAAGCAAACAGAAGGAGAAAAAACGTGAATATAGTCAACTGGTATCTGATTGGTTGGATAAATTTAATCATAAAATGTATATTCAACTATTCGATATGATAACTTATCTCATTATATAAAGTATATTTGTTATAAGAGAACGCTAATGATTTCTGTGATAAGGATAACGATAAGGCGATGAACAAAATTGTTTTTATCGATACGTTTGAATCAATTATTCTCTAAATAAATTCTAGGGGTTTTGTAACATCTGAAGTATAAAACTATTTTTTGCCTTAACCAGTCAGTGTTTTACTTTTTTATCATAAAAAGTAGAAAAATATAAAACTGGTTGAAGATTCTCTCAAGCAGTTAGTTGTATAATAAACTAGAATCTTTCAAAAAGTGAATCATTTCAAGGTGCCACATTTTGTAGTGTCGTACACATAGAAAGAGGAAAACAAAGTAAGCAGCGATTCGGCTCAAAGAGCTAGTCCCTAACCCTAACCGAAATGGTCATCTGATGTTGACATCACTTCTATCTGGTTATCGAAATCTATACATCAGTATGAGTGACTTCCAAATACTCATATCTCGTTAAGAAATGAGAAGACGCTGATTAGATGCAGTCTTCTGAACACTTTGAGTGGCAATTCGAGAAGGTTGGGGATGCGTTACTCACTACCCAAACGCAAATTGTTGCTCCGGGATTGGTCCTCAACGGTGCCCCACCGCGGCTAACAATAAAGAGTGTAGTGACTAAGTGTGTCAACCACTCCACTTACCTGGGAAGTAGAACCAGCCTTCGTGCGTTGATCAGTGGCCGATGAAATCTCTGCACGGATACAAAAGGCTCGATTGGCTTTTGCCAATTTACGCCACCTATGGTGCCGCCGTGATATCCGTTTGTCTACTAGGGGTGGCGTGTACTGCACAGCAGTTCGGTCTGTTCTACTGTATGCTGTGATACATGGCCATTGAAGGTAGAAGACATGAAAAGGCTGGCTTTAGGTGTTTGACCACCGTTGCCTTCGTAGTACAGGCCGAATTCCATGGTGTCACCATGTGAGTAACACACAAGTCAGGTGTAGAGAGAGTTTTAGGAAGAAGAAGAGGTAAGTCAGTTGATGAGGTTGTGAACCTTCATGGACTGAGATGGGTGACTGAGACATGTGTTGTGTATGCCTAGTCGCCGTCTGCCTCGTCACACAATGTTGGCCGAAGTAGGTTCAGGCTGGAAAAAGGCTCCGTCGGTGGGGCGACAGACTAAAACATGGTATGAATGTATGAAGTGTTTGACTGTTGGTTTGAGCAATGTGTGGCGATGCTGACTGTGTGGTTGGGGTCAGCGAGATGAGAGGAACCAGTGAGCGGTTGGAGACTGTAGGTGATGGTATGGCTGAGAACCGATGTGAGTGGGGAGATGTATACACACATTGTCGTCATCTTAACGACGCTACCCCGAGTGTCACCACTTTCTCATTTTTCCTTTCTCTCTTTTAGTACTTTATATTTCGTTTGAGTGGATTTTGTTTTCTTCATCTTGCATTTGACTGCCTTGTTTACTTGATGTGGTGATATGAGTTGTGGGAACTCGGAGCGTTACGCAGTAATACCTGGTGCTATGTTGATTTGGATGGATGGAAGAAATGAGAAAGAAGGAAGTGAATAGAGGAGAAGTATGGACGTTTAGACCAATAAGATGTTAAATTTATAATATTGCGCTTGGTATTTGTACACATTTTAAGAGTGCTTGGATGCAGTAGGTGTTCATTTTAAAAAACGTTTTCCATCGTATTGTTTCTTAGTCATAGTTTAAGGGACGGATCTTAATGTACGGCGATGTTTGGGATGCGATTTTCACCACCCAAATGCAAATTTTTGCTCCAGGACTGGTCTTCAGCGGTACCGCGGTTAACAATAGAGAGTGAAGTGATTGAGTGTGTTGACCACTTCACTTACCTGGGAAGTAGGATCAACTCCGGTGGGTTAGTTGCCGATGAGATTTCTGCACGGATACAAAAGGCTCGATTGGCTTTCGCCAATTTGCGCCACCTATGGCGCCGCCGTGATATTCGTTTGTCTATTAAGGGTCGCGTGTACTGCACAGCAGTCCGGTCTGTTCTACTGTATGGCTGTGAAACATGGCCATTGAAAGTGGAAGACATGAGAAGGTTACAGGTATTTGACCACCGTTGCCTTCGTAGTATATGCCGTATTCCGTGGTGTCACCATGTGAGTAATGCAGAAGTTAGGTGTAGAGTTTTAGGGAGAAGAGGTAAGTCAGTCGACGAGGTTGTGAACCTTCATCGACTGAGATGGTTGGGACACGTACTACGTATGCCTAGTCACCGATTGCCTCGTCACACAATGTTGGCTGAGGTGGGTTCAGGCTGGAAAAAGGCCCGAGGTGGCCAGACTAAAACATGGCACCAATGTATGAAGTCTCTGACTGTTGGTTTAAGCCATGTAGGACGATGCAGACTAGGTGGTTGGGGTCCACGGGACAAGAGGAACCAGTGGTTGGAGACCCTAGGTGATATGGCTCAGAACCGAAGTCAGTGGCGCAGATGTATACACACATTATCCTCATCTTAACAACGCTATACCGAATCTCACTATTTTGTCACTCCTCTTTCCTTTCTTCTCGTACTTTATATTTCTTTTGACTGCATTCACTTATCTTCATCCTTCACCTCACTACCTTTTTACTTGATGTGCTGATATGAGGTGTGGCAACTCGGACCGTTACGCAGTAATGCCTGGTCCTATGTTGATAATGATGATATGATGATGATGTACGGCGATGATGATGATGAGTGTAGCTCATAGAAGACCTAGATTGTATGAACTTCTGAATTACTAGTGATACTATGTCGACCACGCTAAAAGATCCATGGATTCTGACTTCGTGGTAGATGAAAAAGCCTGTTATCATGTTTCCTGTGGAATTTGTACTATACTGCTGTAGATTATAAGAATGCCAGATCGCCCGTTCTATTGAAAAATACCTGGGGATGGATAATTTATGTGTAAATTTCACTGTCGATTTTACCTTGGACAGGATAAATAGTATGCATGTTCAGCATATTATTATCATTAATTATTATTATGAAAGGATTTATTCGATTAGTTTATCTTATTTTTCTTCTTCTTTAAGCATACCTATGGATGTGGTGGTTCCTCTGGTGTAGTACTTGAAGTCAATACTTCAATTGTTTATGTATCGCTTGGATCTAATATCTGTGATTGGGGTTCAGTTTATTTGGATGAATATGGTGAAGAAGATTTAGAGTTAAAGTAGGTTATCTTGTGGTTGGTGTTTGTTTGTTTTTTCAATAAAAGTTCATAATTTGAGTATCTGTTGTTTTTGTTCATAGGATTTCTAAAGGTTTAAATTCATTTCAATAAAAAGGCCATGGTTGTGTACTTCTACTGGTGCATTTATTTCGAACGGATGTCGATTTCTGCTGAAAACTCGATTCAATACACATACACATTTGTATACGTCAGTGCAAAGTTACAGCAATTTTATGATCAGTCGAGGTTGTCTGGACAGTTTGTTAATGAGTTCTGTTATACTCAATATAATCCTGCTCTACTGGTGTTAATTATATTCCTATCTAGTTTGTATAGCGTGTAACTATACACGTTATTCATCGGTATATTTCATATTTACCTCATTGGCTTAAACATTCGACTTACAATCTCAGTGAGTTCTGCGATCAAATCCTGCTTTCCTCTACCTCCTCTCGAACAACCGGATATCATACACCTTAATGCAATGAATGTAACCCATAGTCTGGTAAATAAACGTGTACTGGGTTGATTTTACATTGTATTGCAGATGGTTAGACTTTTACTTAGCTCACATTTATAACCTATAAGGTATTCAAAGAGATTTCGTAGCTTATAAGATTTTTCCTGACCATATACGTCGTATTTACAAAGTGAGTATAGTGTATTATGACAGTAATATGGATAGTATTTTTGCAGTTTTTAGCTGCAGAACTTCATTTTTAAAAGAAATCGCTTGGCGTTTATCATTTAGATCGGTATAGCTGTCTACTTTGTAGTTGTCAACCTTAAAAGAAACCTTAGCCAGGTGAATAGATAGGAAACAGAGGAATCAAAGTAGATTCTGATGCACGAATACATAGGTTGATGTTGCCACATTTCATATCATCATACCAACAAGAATGTCTAAACACTTATTCTTATGGTTTTGATGACTGTAGTTAGGCAACTTACACCTTACATGGTTCAGACTGATAACCACTGACTTTATGGACTGATGTAATATGTTGATCTAGCCACTCTGAGTCTAGTTCCATTCCAATCCCATTTCAGTTAACATCGCACGTTAACGTGGATGGTTGGTGTACACAACATAGGTCGAAACCATTTCAGTCATTGAAATTTCAAAACTTCATCAACAGATTTGCCTTCCTTGCATACTTGCCATACGCATAACCTCAACACTACTCGAACGGCGAGCAGTGCTACGAAAACACTTTTGGTCAAAAACCTTGTAACTTCTTCATATCCTCTACTTTCATCAGCCATATCTCACAGCTGTAAAATATGATGGGAGAAACTGTTGCACAGTTGTCTTGATCCCCATATCTTCATAGAGTTTAGTTCCACTCTTTCTACATAAAATTAATTAGTCCAGCAAGTAAAAGTGGTAATGCGCTTAGAGTGTATGTGTCGTGTAAGTGGATAGATCTGTTGATCTAAGCATGGGATATTTATCTTATGCTGTTTTGAAAACTGTTGCAAGTTGACGGACAGTTTCCATATACAAAGCATATTGCTACACAATCATGCTCAGGTAATAGATCATGGGTTCGAACCCCAAATCGTGTCACCTACCCTCACATGTTATGCTCACTTCAGATCTGTGTATTGACTTAGGGTTACTTTTTATGAGTGAAGACTATCTGGTTGCTTCAACGAAAGTATGTTGAGGTGTTTAGAATCCCCCCAACCCAATGATTCGTGCTGATTCTATTCGGCTCTGTAATGTCATTGGTGCGAATTAAAATTTTCCAGAATATGTAAGTAAATTCGATTTATTGACCTCAATGTCTCACTAATCAAGTTATTTGTATTGATTGAAATCAGTTTACTTTCTGATTTTCTTTGTATCTATCTGTTCTCCAAAAGTAAGCTGATAGTTGATTCCACATCACCATGAGTATTCACAAGGGCTTCACGAATTCGAGTCACAGATATATCACAGAGAATTTCATTTATTTGAGGTCCTAGATATTCAAAAGCGAAATCGAATAGAGTTTCACGGGCTTCATGATTTGGTTAAACAGTTTGACGACAACTGATTCTATCTAATATCAACAGGTTTGAAGACATGAAAGTATCAGTTGATGAACTTGTAGAATACTTTCTCGACAAAGATGAGCTTCGTGGTGTTACAGACTGACTTGGACACCATATAAGAGCGCAAGTTTGCGAAAGACATAGATGAAATTTGCGTTTCAATTCCAGTTTATTTTTTGATTACATTTAGGAAAGTTTTATTACTTAGGTGACTGTAGGCTATATTTCTGAAGTTTGTGCTGATGATGTTATCTAGAATGACAATGAAAGTCCTACGATTAAACCATCCAGTTCTGAGGACATAATACCTTCAAAATTAATTTTAATTTACTCCACCACACATGAATCAAATGTTAGCCGATTTAAGTCTTTGAATGTAATAGCCAATCGTCCCTGTTATAAGTAAATTGATTACTGTTCATCAAAGGTAGCAGTATGATCAACTTCGTCTAGCGATTGGTTATCGTGATATATTTTCGTTTTATTGTTTATGCATGGCACTTAAACAAACATATACATCTAGGTCACAGTTTTGAATCTTGTTCCAACTAACTAGCATTTAAAAAAGCAGACAATAGGTGTGGTGTTATTGTTCATAACTCACTGCTTAAAAACATACATATGATTGTTGAGTTGTATTTCAACTTTACTCATAATTCATGTATTGAATTAAATCATTTCTTCTGAAGTACCTATTTAAAAATTGGAGTGATTTGCACAACTCAGTTGCCTAAAACGAATCAGTCAGGGAATAACACCCCCAATGAATTCAATCCAAAAAGCTGAAACAGTTTTTCATTGCTTTACATCAAACAGACAGACAGATAGAATCAACGTAGAACCTCGCACACAAGTGCATTTGTTCAAGTTACCACACTTCACAATAGTATAGAAAGAACAAGTGGGTAAAAAACAATTGATATCAAAGTAGACAAAGTTGTGTGAGAGAATAAACCATTTGAAGATAAAGGTTAATGTGAATATTCAAGCTTTACAAGACTTCAAGGAGTGAATACATCTACACCTTTGTGACCGATTTCCAGTCATGTTATCAAGATTCCTCAAGCACTTATTCCTATGATCTCCGGGACCCTAACCAAGTAGTCTGCATCTGCCTATACTGTTCAGACCAACAGTCAAAGATTTCATGAACTGGGGCGACATCTTGGACTGGTTTCCCCTAACTTGACGCGTCGAAGTGAAGGGGTTACTCGGTATGTGCAACACGTGCCCAAGCTACCTCAACTGATGAAGGTTCAGAACCTTATCAATCAACTTGCCTGTCTTGTCTACTTCCCTTGCTTATATCATCTAGAATCTAGTTAACATTTTACCGTTTATTCCCGTTTGTAATATTTAACTACTCATACTAATCATTAGTGTTTATGTGTTGTTTAGTTATCTTTCATTTATGTATACCTTTTCCCTCTCTCTATCTCTTCATTGCATTACAGACGTGGAAAACCATTATTTTTAAATGCTGAACGATTTACTTTGCTCGAGAATCAATGGATAACGCATTCATTTCGTCATGTACTAAAAAATTGGCGTTCTGTTTAACAGAAACACATGCCAATGAAAGATGCAGCTGACAAAAGAAGCTAAACAGAATTTTCTGTGTTCCACCCTCATTTCTCTATTTCCGTTTATATATCTGCTCAATCGTCATATATATATATATATATATATATATATATATATATATATATATATATATATATATATATATATATATACGGATGTAGATATGTGTGTATATCTCACATTTACACCAGTTGGTGCGATGATAGCAACCACCAAATTTTCTTTAGGCTTTGATTCACTAGGACATTTCAGTCGGCTTATCGTTGAAGATCGTCAGTGGTGCGTTTGTAAACACACACACACACACACACACACACACACACACACACACACACACACACACACACACTGTATTCATATATGAATACAGCTCAGCTTGAATCTTACCCAATAACAAGTTGGCTAAAATGTTTTTGAGAATATACTGCCTTCTATTTTCTTCCTTGTTTGTTGTTTACTTTACTGTGATGTGATGTGTAATTGATATTTGGAATGAAATGGAGTGGATAATTCGTTATGTGCATATTTGTAGTTGCATGCTAATAAAATATGACCCACATTAGTCACTAATATGCTTTTTGCTAAGTTTCACTAAGTTGACTGATTCAACAGAAATTTGGTCCATTTGTGTGGTTTTTTTATTACTCTTTCGTTTACTCTACTTTTCTGAATTGTTCTTCAACTAGCATCGTGATGCTTAATAATTAATGATTAGTTGATCTTGGCAGAAACGCATGTGAAGTTATTATTATTGGTAGTAGTAGTAGTAGTAGTACTATTACGGACATGTGTTTTACCATAGACGTGCAGAAGTCCACATATTTTTAGGTTATTTGGCTAACTCAAATTACCTCACACTTACCCACCTCCCGTTGTCACTTGTCTTACCCCCCCCCCCCACCTTCTTTTCAGCCCCTATCTTTATCTTTGATTTTCCCTCAGTAACTCCTCCATGTTCTATTTATTAATATTCTTTACTCATAGTATTATACTCAATGTATGGAGACTATATCGTTATCCCTTTGTTTTGTTTATATACACATACAATATATTGTTTGCATGAATGATTATTTTCTTTATGGGCATTTGTGTTTATGTACTAGTGTACACTCCATTCTTATGAGTACAATTCAACAGTGATAGTATAACGATTCATAAATAAGTAAAAAAATAAACAATTAATTTTCATTGTTCGCCATCAACAATATTCATAGCTCTACTAACACATTAATATGGTCATCTTCTATTCTATTTCCAATTTGTTCCACTTTAATTTGGCCCTACTGCTTCCTATAATTCTTATCGGTATACACGTCAATATATGATGGTTTTAGGTTGTATTTCATCTTTCAGTTTACCTATCACACATTCTCATGACATTGTTATAGTCAAACATTATTAATTTGTTGATTTCTATTCATTCATTCCATTATTCTCAATTATAGTCATGAATATCCATTGATCTTCTTTTTATTTCTTCATTCAGAATTTGGTTCAATATAACTAAATATAATGTGAATAATTCACAAAATTCTCATATTTTTGCATCTTCTTAATAATAATTTTTTCTGTGATTAATATTTGGTTAGGATCTCGTTTCGATGTAAAATAGCAACAATAACTTTCAGTAATCAAGCTAGTTCACTAAACCGTTGGTTTAAAGTTGAATATCTAAACCAAAATGGATAGAGAGACAGATAGACGAAATCAATTTCGAACCTTGTACACAAGTGTATCGGCTCAAGTTATCACACATCAAAGTAGTATACAAAAAACAGGTGGACAGAAAACCACTGAGGAAATTTGAAGAGTGAATACACTTGCGCTATTGTGACCGATTTCTATCTATGTCACTAAGAGTCCTCAACTGCTGAGTCCTTT